ATCGAAGCATACTCACACGTTCCGAGGCCATTTGGCACGATCATCGCGAACGATGTGTTCAGCTCAGGAATTATCCTTTCAGATACGGATTTTAGGCAATTTCAACAGTATTTAGGTGTCACTGGGCTAGATGTAGGCCCATTTTTTCTCCTATCAGAGAACTTGACTGAACACATTCAGATGGCAATAGTTGGAAATAGCTATCTGTACCATATGCGCAAGGATGTGGTGGAAAATATACAGCCCGGTGTTGCTCAGGTTGGTCAACATGAACCATTCTTTCTCCAGTCTTACTTTACAACCATCTTGTAGAATTTTGCCGAAAATACTCTTGCCCTTCTGCTTCATTTATCTTCGCCGCCGTCTACTTCCTCTTCCATTGCAACTTTGACTGGAGGTTTCACTAAGCCCTCGACAGTGTATTTTTCTTTGTTTGGCAAGTTCTGGATGTACAGTTTTTCGACGGCGAAGATGATGTATGCGGTTCTTCTGGTGGACGCAGTCATTCTGATCACTGCAACAGCAAAGTCTGCAAGGGCTCATGCACTGTTTGGCTCCCTTGCTACACTAGGTCAACCCACACTTGCAGTCCTTTCTGCGTTCATTGGTTCACTGCTAGGTACCAATGCCGTTGCTCTGGTGATGAGATACCTGCTGGGTAAACCCCTCAGTTGGTTTAGGAATGAATATTCTGCGATAGTGCTCTACGGTCCTGCGGCAATACTGGGTAAGTTTCTCTTGAGTTCTCTACTTTCCAGTGGTAACTTGAAAATATGATATCTTGGTCGCAGGCGCCCTTATTTCGCAGTATCCCTTCGCTACAGTAACAGAACTCCGAGCATACCATGCCACTCTCCTCGTCCAATCCTTCCTCGCCCTCCTCATCCAATTACTTGGTGTTGGGTCTGCTGCTCTGTTCTTTCTCAATGCGGCGAGTCTTTGGGTTGGATTGGCTGTGACTGCGCTTTTTGGTCTTATCAGTGTTCGTGCGGAGCGAGTATCATTACTGACATATGCCTTATCCTCCTTTATCCCTCTTTTCCTCGGCACCACCAGCGCCTATCTCACGCTCGAGGTCTTCGTACCTCTCACAGGACGCATTGGCGCAGATGCACCAGCAGACAACCTGATCGCTAGTATTGTATCTATCGTTGGAGCATCAGGATTTCCGCTCTTTGTTCCCTTCGTTTCGAGGTTCCACAGTTCGGATACAAGGGTGTTGAGAAAGTTGATTATGGCCATGCTATTGGCAACGGCTACCTCAATCGCAGTGTTCAGTGCCAGGGAACCGTTTGATTCAATGCATCAAAAGCGCGTGTATGTGTTGCGTACAGAGAATGTGAGCAGAGTTCCTCGTCTTTCTACATGTATATCTACATTTTTTATCAGATAACCACCGGCGAACATCACCTTCACCTATCAACTTCAGACGGCGCGCCAGATTTTGAGAATTTAGTCTATGCCGTTGCAAAGGAATTCAGTGCTCCCCCAATAACCCAACCCGATTATACCAACTCCAGTGGTGATATTACTCCCGCTGTGGTTGGAGAAATACCGATTCCGGAACCCGTTCTTATGGACTGGTATAATTCAGATTGGGATCCGATGTTCCCGTTTTCGTTGGTAAATCATACTGTTCCTCAGTATCGTTTGTTTTTTGAATTATGTTTGCAGTTCTTAAAGCCCTATAAAATTCCGCTCCCTGTCGACATTGACTATGTTTCTCCTTGGTCCTCCAAGTTCAGTCAAGATAGCAAATATGGATTCACATTATCTGCGGTCGATGATGTCGTTGACCTCGAGGCAGGTACAAGAAGACTCAAGCTGGTTATATGGCATCCGGGATTAATATGGACTGGTGAGTCGCCTGGTGTTCCCCACCACGAATTTTCTGACTCCCGGGATTTATCTCCTGTGCAGTAATTGCATTCGATGCACACGTACTGGAATGGAATCTCGACGATGAACCACCGAATGAACATACCCGTCACCATGTCAAAGAGGCATCGTATTACGGTTCTGATACATGGTCTATCGACCTCGTCATCAAGATCCCTTCGCCGCTCTCCTCACCTGAGGCGATTCAGCATGCATCAGAGGCTGGGAAAATCACGGTCAACTTTATTGGGCTTGAAGAGGAAGGAATGTGGCCTGGTAAAAAAGCCATCTTAGAAGGGAAAAGCGCGAAAGAACCGGGTCTAGCGCTAAAGCTATTTTCAGACTTGGATGCATGGATTACGAAGGATACTGGAGGTAAAGTTGATGCACTTCTGTTGGGGTGTGTGGCAGGCGTTCAACGTATATGATCGTCGCCCAATCGCAAAGTAGAACAACAATATTGACAGTAAATCAGGTTACTGTCCTGTTTTGATGATGATGATATAGTTAAGAAACAAGATGGACCATCCGTTTCGTCCAACGAGAGGACATGCAATTCACGGACGAGATTACCTCGCGTTAAGGATTCGAACTACAAGTTCATGTTGCCGTTGTCGGTCTTCGTCGGCCTTGACAAGCACTCTATCAAACTGAGCATGCGGTGCTTGCTAGTAAGGAATGGGCGACCCGTGTCCAACGGAGCCGCGTTTCCTTCTTACTGCATAATTTTGGTACTTCGCTTTTGAGCCATGGTGACGATAAAACTTCCTCATGACAAGTTGCCGAATTACCTGAAGGCAAACATAATAACACCGAACATTTTCCTTACATCTTCCTTATTTCACTCCAGAACTTCGAAATTGAAACTCGGCCCTCTCGAGACCAGGACACGTACAATTGCTAGCCTTATCATCCAACAATAGCAGCACCATATCCAGGTAGTTCTATGCCAGCTCGCGTTCTGATGATCTTCATCTCTACTTTCTAGAGCGGATTTTCGGGCGTTTGCACCGAATTGTATGAATATAATGGTATGTATGTTCAATCCAGTTATCAGATAACCCTGCTGTGACAACACCATTTGTCCAGCGAATCGAAGGAACTGACCCGGGATGGATATAAGAGAACTCAGTAGTGCTATTAGTATAGTACAAGAGAAGCATCTGATTTGCCCCATCTCTTTCTCCAGTCTCCAGCAAAACAGTATCCGATATGATCTGCCCATTTGTGGTCCTTTCGTTGCTTGTTTTTGGGGTTGCCGCAGCCCCTCTCGCTCCAAGCCAGTCTTCTAGTCTGTCAATTCCCATTCAAAAATATGTCAATGTCACGGGCGGACATAATCTCGTCAACGCGGGTCACTCTCGTGCTCGTTCCTTCCGTGATCGTACAGTGTCCAAGCACATTTCCTCTACAAAAAGGCAAGAAGTACCCGTCGTCAATGAAGCCATTACATACATTGCAGAGATAGCTGTCGGTGCTGACAATCAGACTTGTAAGCAAATTAACCCGTATGCAACATGCGCTTACGATCCATGTAGTTCATCTGCTTGTTGATACCGGGAGCTCGAACACTTGGGTAGGTCATCATTGCAAGATAAGTATTTTGACGCTCAATTTTACTAGGTCGGCGCCAATGCAAGTTATACATACGTCCCCTCATCCAGTAGCGTGTGGACAGATGACATTGTCATTGTAGACTATGGGTCCGGGTATTTCTTCGGTGCATCTCTTCGGCCTCATACTAATCTGAATCCGGATCTGACTTCATCATTGTGCGCTAGGATATGAATACTATGATACAGTAACACTCTCGAATGACCTAGTCATCACAAATCAGTCAATTGGAGTAGCTGATTTTCAGCAAGGTTCTTACCTCTTTTCTCAGCTTCCGACTCGTCGTTGAGCTCTCTGTTATCTAGGCTTTACGTCGATGGATGGAGTTTTAGGGTAAGTCCTACTTCTGATCTTCCACACCTCACTATCACTGACTACTTATCCTGTGCTTCTTAGTATTGGCCCCGTTGACTTGACTGATGGCACCATCCTTGGCTCTTTGGTATGGCTAAGCTTTCATCTATGTCTATTAATCACAGACCAAGGTCGCTAATTTACAACCAGGCTCCGGTAACTACAGTGCCGACAGTAAGCGACAACCTGTTTAATCAAGGTGTCATATCTACGGAAGTTATTGGTGTTTCCTTCGTCCCTACTACCGGTGCCGCTAACGAGCCCGATGGGGAGTTGATCTTTGGTGGTAGGTGTTGTTCCTCAATACTCTCGTATCTTGATTATGATTTCGGTATCCTGCAGATGTCGAAGGTAGCTCTAGATACACTGGCCAAATAACTTATACGTGCGTCACTCCTTCGAGGTTCATCATCCTACCCTACACTGTATACCTTTCTTAGCCCGAGAGAAACGGATTACTGGGGAATAACGCAGTCTATTTCATACGGCGACACTGAGATCATGGCGAGCGCAATTGGCGTTGTGGACACAGGAACGACTTTGAACTACATGCCTACCGATACATTCAATGCCTATATAAACACTACTGGCGGAATATACGACGAGGTGACGGGACTGTACGAAATTACCGAGGAGCAGTACAACGCGCTTGACGATCTAATCTTCACCATTGGCGGTGTGAGTTCTTAGTCTTTGTTAGAATGGGAAACCGCTCAATTCAATGATTCAAAGACTGATTTCCCGCTGACTCCCAATGCTCAAATCTGGCCCAGAGACTTGAACGAAAATATCGGAGGAGAGGCGGGAAAGATCTATCTTGCTGCAGTCGCTACCGGTATCTGTTCCTCGAACCCTTTACCACAATGGTTACTGATACATTTTGCCTTGTAGAACCAGTCGAGAATCTCAACTTCATCAATGGTTATGTATTCTTGGAACGATATTTCTCGATTTTCGACAACTCCAATTCTCGAGTAGGATTCGCTGTTACACCGTATACAAACGCTACGACGAATTGAATTTAAGGAAGGAAGGGGTGGAAGCAAGTGCATTACACGGCCGTCACTGGATAGGAACGCCGGATGAACAAAACATTATCGCTGTACTTTCACTTCATGTTAGTGTCAATAAAATGAAAATCTCCAACGCAAAACTTCCTTCTAGCCGACTTGAACGACTGACCTCGTCATTGACAATATGAGTACTAGTGATGACAATATGAGTACTAGTGACGCGCTCTACCAACTGAGCTAAGAAGGATATTTTCTGAACTTTTCATTAATAGAGAAGACGCATAGATTAATCAGTCAGTGTGTCAATATATGAAATGCTAATTTAGTAGCAGTCAGAGATGTTACTACGTCGTCTCTGCTTCACCGTCACCTAAAGTCATCTCATCAAAGCCCTCCAGCAGCTCATCTAACTGTATTTCAGGGAAATCCGCTTCCTCATTTTCCTCCTCTTCATCCTGCTGGGGACTTTCATCAACAACCATTGCAAATTGTGGTTTCTTAGGTCCCTTCTGTGCCTCATTCTTCATATTCACATCGGTTGACTTGTAAAGATTGACGGCACTTCTCATCTCCGGATCTTCTTCAAGGTCACGAAGGAAGAGTTCATAGTCCTCCTCAACCTTCTTTTGATCACGACCGCCCATTCGTCCGACAACACCACGTCCACTGCCAGTTTCACCCTCCTCACCAGCCTCTTTACCAATACTCCTGAGTCTCCAGGCTCTCGTTTTGTTCTTTTTCCGGCGATTTGGATACGTCTTCTTGACAAGCATGATATCAGGTATCCGCTCGGAAGGGAGTGAAGTAAAATCATCCGAGTTGTAATTGGAATTTGTCAGGAAATAACCCAACGCGGTGTCCCCTGGCTGGAGAATTCCACCAAGATGAGTTCGAGTGTGGTATATTTGATTCGTGTAACCGGAGCTCTCGTAGTCCATCGAGTTTTCATCTTGGCCTTGACCAGATCGGAAAGCACCTGCCAGAGCGACTTGCGCGTCTGCCAGGACAAATTTCCCTCGCGATCGACCATCTGCTTCGACGTCGAGCACCGTAAACTCGACGAGATCGGTGACGGTTGCTAAAGAGTCAAAAGGATTTCGCCAGTATACGGCGGATGTGATTTCGCATGTCTGTAAAGTTGCGGGGTCGAGTAGCTGGATGGAACTGCCGACTCGAGTGCAGACGGTTAGAGGGCTGATGTTGCCGAGCTGTCGGGCTTGCTTTGGAGGTATGCAGACTAAATCGTCTTTGCATATGGGCATAATCTCAACGGAATAGGTATACTTGAAGTTGGCAGTATTACTGTGCGTATCCGATGAGAGCAGTTGTTCTGAAGCCTTGGATCTGAGGAAATAATTGGAATGTTGCGAATCAGGTGAAGAAAAACTCGCTTACCGCACTGGAACAACACTTGTTAGAAATTCTACCGCTTTGATTGCATGGCTTCGTTGGCTATAAAAGAAGTCTAGCCCATCTTTGACTTCCTTCACTGAGATCGTATCTTTCTGGGCGCCGTGTTTTAGGATAAGCTGTTCCAGGAAAAGAAATGTCCTCTTATGAGGAACCTTTTGTCGCACTTGAACGAGAGCTTTCCAAGTGTTTTTGGCGGCAAGTTTTGCGCAATCAGGGCATTGGCCATGCTGCACTAGATACTCTATTTCAAATGTTTGTTCTAAGATGGTGCTGGTAAGCACCTAAACAGCGCTTAGTATGATGCCTAGGCAGGAATATGAACACACACTTCTTTCTGAATTGTTAGTGATACACGAAGCCGTTTCGAATGTGGCTCTGTCCATATAAAATGTGCCTCGGTCAACCGCACTTTGGATAATCCTTTTAGTTTCTTCAAGCACAAAGCAAGAAGCTCAGATGATTCTGGTCTTGCGAGAATCCAAGCTTGTGGGGTGCAAGAAATCGTTCACAGTTTCGGCAGTATGAGACGGATGCTGGGAAGTAATGATTATAGTTGATTGATCAAAGAGGTTTGAATGCATATCAAACCTTGCTTGGGGATTCCTTCTGTAATGTCCACCCTGTAAGTTGATCAGCAATCCATCCACACTGAACCAAGAACAGCGTACGTATTCCGCAAACAAGCAACACATAGATTAGCAGAATTGGGTACGATCGGAGTACCTGGTGGAGAATCAAGAGATGAAGAGATGGATTATTAGATATCGCATACCGCAATCAGCGCAGAGAACACGATGCACTGCAGGCGCAGGAACAAATTCCATGCTGGATGTAAGAAAATAATCAGTAACCAGTTACTCAGCAGATTTTTGCGGACTTGCGCAATGCGCCCGTGACTCTGGGCGCTTATTGTTTTGGGCGCTTATCAGCACAACAGACGTGTCTGCCTTCGTGGCTCATTAGATTTTATTGAAAACGTTTCATGCCTACTTGAGTCGAAAATCCATTGCTATGCTCTGGTTTCTGTCTTCCCTACTTCTGCTGGGAAGGTATGCTGCGGCAAGTCCTCCGGTCAAGGTCTCTCTCAGAACTTCATGGCCTGCGCCGATATTTCTAGTAGAAATTATGCAGGTGTTCCTTTTGCTCTTATAATGCTTCATCCACTGATGGTGACTCAGTGAAAGTGTCGCATTAGAAGATTCCAAAACTTTCTTTCCCTTCTTCGACCGTGTCACAGACCAGAAGTAGTGACTATTACACCAGATGAAGCCCCCGAGGCTGTCTATTCGTCCTCACTTGAAGTCGCAAAGAATATGGGTCTGTTTTCCGAACCAGGTGCCTTGGCTTTTGTCGAATCGAGTCTCGCCCTCCACGCTGCTACACCCAAAATCGAGGCGTTTTATCATCACTACACGGAGGTTGTAGGAGCATCTGCGCGTCATAAGGAATGTGGATCATGGGTAGACTGGTATGGCACAGTAGTCTGTGATGTGGAGTCATTGGCACAAGTTGCTGGGCTAGACACTATAGATTCGACAGACAGTCATCCGTGAGTTTTGATGCCATTTCAGGTTGGGAATTAGATTGAACTTGCGAATTGCAGTTCGAACTATACGAGACCCAAGATTTTGCCCTTCGACCACATATATCCACCTCCAGATAATCGATTAGAGACTCCGCCGCGATCCGCCATCCTATACGCCTCATTGGACTCTCCAAATTTTCGTGAACTGCATACGTACTTGATGAGGTTGGCGAACAATGCAGAACCCCGGATTGAATACATAGTTAGACACGTCCCGCCAGAAAACATCGACCCGTCAAGACGAAGCTATCTCTCAGGATACAGCGTCTCTCTTGATCTAAAAAGATGGACTACCTTGCGCTAGACGACAGACATCTTAGCACACAACAAGATGATCGTTCCCTCTCAGATGAACAGGAAAATGAGGCTCGAGCTATCGACGCGGATCCCATATTTTCACTCCTCGATACTTATCCAGAAAATTCAACAGCGCCTGATGTCAACACACCTCCTACAGAGGATGAATTACATTCCATTGGTTTTCAAGCCTCTCAACTTATCATGGACTCTGCTGATCCTCTGCTTACGCTTACGCACCTTTCGCAAAACTTCCCCAAATACGTGACAACCCTTGCGCGCCGAGTTACAGTAAAGGAAAACATCGCACAGGAAGTACACGAGAATCAGCTGCGTGTTCAGGGTGGTGCCAACGCTATGTGGCTGAACGGAGTCTCTGTGGCCGAAAAAGACCTGAACGCGTTCGGCTTGCTGCGGTTGTTGAAGAAAGAACGAAGTATCATGACGGATCTGACGAGTTTAGATCTTGAAAGAGGCGAGGCAATGGACCTACTGACTCATCCTATACTTTCTGCCGCCCAAGAGAGCAAGGATGTTTTGGACGGGTTGGTTGATGCCAGTGACCGGATCGAAGGGGGGATGTTATTATATGGTGGAACGATCTCGAGAAGGATAGAAGGTGAGTTACTCACTCGTGCTGGTCCTCCCTCTGATTCCATTCACAACGCAGGTATAATCAGTGGGGTGCTTCAATAACTGGCGTAAGTTCACCAATCTTTGGTGTATCGCGTGAGCTCACACTCTGCTAGTTATTACGACCTCTGTTTCCCGGCCAATTTCATATGATAAAACTCAACCTGTTCAATGTAGTTCTCGCCCTCGACCTCTCTCGCCCCGCGAATTTGGTCTTTGTCGCAGGAACTATGCATGGTATAATTGAGAGAGGATTTCCTTTCCGTTTTGGTGTTGTGCCCATTGTGGAGACGGAAGACGGTGAGTCATAGCTCTCGATCACCGAAAATCGTACATATCAAGGTTATTCATATAGGTGCTCGAATGGCAAGATTGATTTATTTTCTTTTGAACAATTTTGGGCGGAAGGTCACCATGAATTTCTTGAAACGGGTACTCCCTTCACCAAAAAGTCGTATTGGAAACCTGATCATTGCTCACATCCTCAACTTAGGTCGCACATCCCTTTACTGTACCTGGAGCTCAGAGATCCTTCCAGTGGTCTACCATTCGCGGAGAATATGATGCTCTCATGGCTGCTGAGGCTAACGCCGGCACACCGATAGACCAAATTTCTGTGGATTTTGAATCTGCAGTTTCCGGTACAAACTCCGGAGCCCGGTCCCTGGATGGCGCTCAGAGTTATAACAATCGTTTGAGCACCACTTTATCTGCATCCTCTGCCGGACATGGATTCATCAACGGAAAACATGTTGCTTTTGATGAGGTGATTCACCGCTGTTTGTGTGCGTGTGCGGTCGTAGTCCTTATGCAATACTTCCCAGAACTTTCTTCGAAATATGCAAACAGAAATCAGTCGACAATTGATGCACCTACAAGAAGAGGTATACACTCGACTTCGTTAAACATTCCACAAGCTTATTTGTGAAAATACAGATATACGAAGGCCACTTGACCGATGAGGACAACGAGAGGATATCGAATTACTTCTTCGACCTTCCGACGACGGCACGACGGAGGAACAAGTATGTCGTTCCTTCCAAGGACGATCTTGACATTATTAGTCTTCCGGAGCTTCTCCCGCGATCTGGCCCTCTCTTCGCACCATCTTCCTTCGTGTATCCTACAGAATCAGAGGTTATCCCTGTAACGTTATTCGTCGTAGCAGATCTTAATGCCAAAGATGGTCTTGAATTTGTCAAGGAAGCATTGACGTCGATGGTGAGTTCTCTGTTTTCGACTTGCATGGTGATCGCTCACTTTGAGCAGGGTAAAGAATCAAGCGCACGTCTGGCGTTTATACATAATCCTGCTACCGA